GTTTGATATAGCAATTATATGCATTCGAGAAAATCCGCTTTTGCAGAGCGTTCACTATTGTTCATTAATTTTGCATTCCTTTGGAATAATCATACTTTTTTTAACTAGACATTATTAAAATATTGTTGTACCTTCTGAGTGTATACTTTACTTTATACTTTTGCAAAGATAGTTTTATAGAGAAAAATATACAGAAAATATTACATGTTTTTTCTTCTTTTCATCGCCGACCCAAGATACGAATAATAACGATAATATCAAGTTTTGATATGGGACCGAGTAAATTTTTTCATAGATAATAAAGTCATTTTCTGAAGGCAAACGGATAAAATAACTGTGCAGTGATAAATATACGACATTAATCATGAAGATATAAATCTGACAGCAGCTTAAATAAAATATACTGTTTTTGAAATTCGCTTTTGTAAAAGTTATTAAACCTATTTAAAATATAATATTGTGCGCAAAATCTGGGATAGTAGTAATATAGGTTTATACAGAATTTCATTAGTAATTAGTAAGTATTAAGTATTTCATTAGTGAAAATATGATTTGAAAATGCGTTCAAAAATGTGTACATATAATAAAATATCTTAAATTTGCTCGAATGCAAGAAATGTTACATTAAGAATAATAATGCAGAAATTTTTTATTAAAAAAAGATACACAAGAATTTTTTAAATGTTAATAAAATTCACTTAGAAAAAAAGTTTGTTTGAATGCATACAATTTTGTATTCATCATTTCAAATCATAAAATTATTTAACCCTCCGTCGGTCGGAGTGGTCTGGCCAAACTTTTTTCGACTTCTATTTAAAAAAAAATACTACTAGTAATCCTATCGACTTGAAATTTCTTGGCTTCCTAAAATTTCATTAGCTGTCAATCAATGAAAAATCAGGACAAAAAAATGTACAAAAGGATAATTATAAGAATATTAACTTTTTAACTTCCCGTAGGGCAAGTTATAGTAATCGCAAAAAAATCGAAAATGAAAATTTTTATATATCTTTACGTTTCAGAGGTTTCTGAACATTTTGGCATACCTTAGAAAAACTGGATATATGTGTGTGTGTGTGTGTGTATGTGTGTGTGTATGTATGTATGTATGTACGTGTGTGTATGTATGTGCGGATACAAATTTTTGTCGACGATTTCGGGAACACGGATCAACCGATTTGAATAATTCAAAAAACATTCGATCCGTATTGATAAGGAGACGTGCTGATTAGTTTTTGGCAAAGGCAGGTCAAGCCGTTCCGAAGATACGGGGCAAAAAGTTCCGAAAACGGTAACTCAGTTTTTAAGAGAACGGAGCGTCCGATTTTAATAATTCAAAAAAAATTTTATTTGTATTGACAAGATGAAGAATCGATAAAATTTTCATAAAGGTAGGTCTAGCGGTTTTGGAGATATGGAGGAAAAAGTAAAAAAATGAGCCATTTGGCGGTCAAAAATGATCATTAGACATATGCTCATCATATTATCAGATATTTTATAGAGATTTTAACAATAAGTATGAATTTGGTTTACAGTCCTATGGGTTCCGTACCAATGCTTATGCGTTAGACAGCGACGCGGCGCTTACGCGCTTTATTTTGTCCCTATGCAGTTAAAGCAGTACGATTGATTTGAAAAGAAAGTTCAGATCTTCCACAATATGTCAAAATAAAAAAAAAAATTTTTCAAAAAAAAAAAAAAACAAAAAAAAAATTTTTTTTTAAAAAATTTTTTTTTCAAAAAATAGTAATTTTTTGTCCAATTTATAGTTTCTCAAAATCTTATTTTTTCAAAGTAATTTTTTTTATCAAAAATGTTAATCGTTTTTAAAAAAATAATAATTTTTGGTACGGGAAGTTCCAGCAATTTGCCTCAAGGCACGATGCCTTAATTGCCTTAAGACAGAATTCCACTTACAGCTAGTTTATACTTCGAACGGTCGGAGTGGTCTGTCTAGACCACCCACACATTTTGTATGAAATATACGCTTTTTGATATATGTAAACCAGTATTTTGTCTTTTTTCTGGTATTTTCTATTCAAACTGCATTTTATATATTCTTTGCTATGTGTTGTAACATGAATGTTAGTATTTTCACGATGAGAGTTCGTTGAAAACCTACCAAACTTATTGGTCATCGCAAACATTGAAAATCGGATAAGTAATGCCCACATTAACTGCGTTCGAAAATTTTCTTGGCAAACCTTTAGTAGTGAAATTATATTTTCATTTTGAGTTCTACTCATAGCTCATTTCAAAGGCGACGCACCTCATTTTGTTTTCATTTGAAAATCATATTCATTTAGAAGGCGCCGAAAAAAAAATATTGTTGTTCATTGATATAAAACAGAAAAATTAACAAAAAAGCAACGATTTTTTTATATTTCTTGATTTTTTTCATATAATATATATAATATTTTTATTATAAGCAAGCTCAACGCATGCAAAAGACGGTAAGAAAAATAAAAAAATCAAAACTATAGATATTTACTACTAATAATCGTTAATATATAAGACACCAAAAACTCATTTATCCCATATAAATGCATGTAAAATGAATGGTGGTCCAGCCAGACCACTCCGACCGTTCAAAGGTAAATAAATAACCGACCGACTTAGGGTTAATTAAAAGAGATAGTAATTGTATATTTTATTGTCAATATTACTTAATTGTTTTTGAGAAGACAGCATACTTTGATTGTATTTTTTACATATATACAAGGTGCCCCAAAACTCAACTTTAAGCCAGAACAAAATTATAATATTGAACGTAACTGCCATGTAAAAAATTAAAATCATTAGTCATTAAAAATTAGAAAGTATCTTAATTCCAAGGTATACAAAAACTCAAATTGTAGTTACATTAAATTTTCCCCTAAACGAAAGTTTCGTTGCAACGAATTATGCTCATTAAGCGATTTATCGTAATTACAGCACCCTCTGTGCGCATTATTTTTCTCACAATTAGCCGGCCACCTGGCTCTCGGATAATTTTTGCCCAAGGGACGTTTTCGCCCTCGTCCCTGGGTTATCATCATGTAGTCGTGTCTGTTAATAACGTGCAGTTGTCTCAGCTGCATGCCGTTCTGTTTACGTAGAGCCGTTGTTTGCGGTGACCCTTTGTCTCTAGCGAATATCTTTGTATGTACAGAACTCTGGATGCATCAAACTATTTTTCCAGCTGTGCGGAAAACTTTTGTTTCGATTTTCTTCTCATATTGCTGGACGATGTCCGGGCTTTTATATTAGTCGAGAGGCAGAATTCAGATAAGAGAAATATTAAGTGGAAATGTGATGAAACTGTTGGTATAGTTTAGGTATACACAGATTACAAATTGTATGAAATTGTATGAATTATATGAAATATATTTTAATTAAAATAATAAACAAAAATGTTAACAAAAATATTTAAATGAATAGATATTTTAATATCTAAGTACCTTAATCACTATCTGATACTTACGTATTTTTTCCTTTGACTCGTAACACCTTAATCGCCATATGTGTCGTGCGTATGAGCCATGTCAGACATATAGTCTGACAAATTGATTTAAAAATCTTTTGGTTTCTAGAGAAAAAAGTTTAATATAGTTTGACATGAAAAATAGTTTTTCCAGTAATTTTGGTAAAAAGCGTTTTCTTTCATACATTAATTTTCCTTGATACATTTTAACTAAATATCTAATATAGTTCTCATGGTCTAAGTGAAAATTGTTCTGATATTATCGTGAAAACTAACATTTAACATTCGTAAGCATTTTTTTGTCATGTGGATTTTCTTTATTTATTAATTTGGTATTAATAATTTTATCTCATTATGTCTTGTATATCTAAATTTGATATATTACTAATTAATTGTTGTAATTTCAAATATCAATAAATCAAATAATAATATAAATCGAATAATAAATTTCTTAAATATAATACATGTAGTAATAACTATAACTAAATTGAAGTTTATTGAGATTTCCTAATCGATTTAAAGTTTGAATAGGAAAATTACCAACAACTTTGTTACATCTAAAAGATCTAAAAGCCATAGCATATTTTTACAAATTTTTATTCTTATGATATAATGTTAATTTGAATCTTATGATATTGTTAATCTCGTTTTTATTTTAAAATTATTATAGTATTTCTGATATTTATATATTTGTGGGATATATCTTATTGGGTTAAGTATTCCTATACTATGTTTGCAGAAGCAAATATCTGCAAAAATACAGCGTAAAAGAATTTATTTGTGTTGCGAAGATCCGCATAAATATTTGCATATATTAATATATTTTCTCCCAAGGGCAGATATCGTATATTTATCGGCTTTTCGATGTAATGGTGGAATTGACTTATTTATCAAAATACTGGTCATTATCATGCCAATAAAAATATATATTTTTATTTTTATGAATAGGCCTTTAATGTGATGTATTTTATGTTGATGATCAACAATTCGGGGAATAAAAAAAAATGAATGTAATATAGAATAAAACTGAAAAATAAAAAAACTGAAGAGAAGTCGATATAAATATGAAAGTACTAAAACATTTTATAAGCAATTTTTATATTAATAATAGTATCTGCGTCATAATTGCGAAGATAATGAATATTATTAATGATGATATAAAGTCATTGATATAGCCTGCAATTTTTAAAAAAATATTTTAAATTTTTCCTAAGTATTCAGACAATTTTGCAGACTGAGTTATATTATTATTATCTTATCTTCTTAGTCTTATATTCTTATTTTCTTAACCATTTTTTTTAAATTCTGTAAATATAAATGTTGTTTATATAAACAAAAGTGTCAAGAATATTTTAACTTTTAATTTAATACTTTTACAACTGTGTATTCGTGTATAACGTGTTTGAGTTGCAAATATTATATGTCGTATAAATTTCATTCAATTCATTTTGCATGAGCAATAAAAAGTAGATTTTTATTTTTTTTTAATTATACCAGTTGCTGTTTTTTTAATATGATGTAATATGTTTCTTTCTAGATAACGTATTGTTATAAAAATCTAAAAAATGCAATCACCGATACCAATAAAATTATAGCTGATCAAGAGGTGCCTGAACAATGGAGCAGGCTGAAGACACCAGTGAGAAATCCGAGGAGAAGGCTGGGATTAGTACTAAGTCAAATGACAATTTGATGAGAACAATGTACGAGATTCCTCAAGAATACGAAATCGATACGAAATGTGATAAAACAGTGATAGTGAATAGTAAAATCTCAAGGACTATACCGACGGTTGTAAGTGACTATAAACCTTCTCTGGAAGAAAGTGCTTACCACAGCAATAACAATACCGAAATCAAAGAAAATGTGATAAATAATGAAATACAAAAACAATGTGAAACTGATAAAATTATAGAACTCCGATCAGATATTAGTTCGAATAGTTCGGACAAAAGTGAGAAAAACGTAGATAGCGTCAGCGCGAATGGCGCTTGTGATGAAAAAACTGAAAACGATGATAAATATAAAATTTTGTGTGATATTTTGGACTCGAATCCGGAAGTGCTTCAGAGGTGGATCGCTGAAAAAGCCTCTAAGGATGATTTGAATAAAATCGGCTTGATTGGAGAACGTAGCAAACCTTTAAGTCTGACGCCTAACACGGCTACGGTTGCTACGGATTTGTTTCAGCCATGGCGGGCATCGTCTCCTGTAAAGGTACGAAATTTTAATTTTAATATCAATACATTGATGAATAATTGGTAGTAATTCAATTACATAATTGATATAATCAATATGTTATATGGTTTAAACCTAACTTTCTTATTGCTTTGTTTAAAAGATAAGGCAAAGTGGCATTGTAAACTCAGTGTGAATGGCATTTTGTCTTTGGTCTTTGGTGTCTTTAGTACTTTCTAAATAATCGACCTAATAATAGAAATTAAGCAACTTTTAATTCATTTTTCTTAACTTTAACAAATTTTTATAAATAAAAAATAATCGAATTTTCAATTTTTCCATATTTCGATAGGTTATACCTTTAAAAATAACATACCAAAATTTTAAATCGATATCTTAAATAGTTTTTGAGTCACAGCCATTTAAAGAGTATATATATAGTATATAGTATAATGATCATTTAATCTTTAAACACGTTTTTCTCGAAACAGCATTTTCCGAATTTGATGCAGCGATTACTCAAAAACAAATGATCCGATCACTACCAATTTTTTTTTACATGTTCGATAAATAGTTCTCCGTAAAATGAATTATCGATTTTTTGATCGGATCAAAAATCGAATTTTGGCAGTCCAAAAACGACCAAAATTTTGGGTAAAATTCGACTTTTTTAAAAAAACGCCGTCATTTTGTCGATTTTTGATTTTTTTTCTTTATCCTAGTTCATTTCACAGACAATATTTTCTAGTTTAATGGGATTTTTTTTTTAAATTTCATCCACGTAGTAGGCCGGAAACACTGCAGCAGTGAAGGGCCTTTTTTGTTGCGCCGTTGGAGATCGACGAAAACTTAAAAAATATTTAATTGTTTTCTTCATAAATTTCACTATGTAATCTTAATGTATAAATATATTCCTAAAATTTTGAAATGATTGATAAAGTAGTTTTTTTTAATATAAATTCCCAAAAATCACCTTTTTTTAGGCGGTTACACTAGTTGTGCTAATTAAGACTATACTGTTGCTATTCAAACTTATATTAAAATAAAAAAATAGACCTCTTTGATAATTCCAGAGTTACGTTTAGGACGATAGTCTGACAAAAAATCAACACGTTTTATGAAATTGTTTTAAAATTTTTGCAATTGGTACAGTTTTTCAGAAAATACAAATTTTCTCTCGAATACGCGATTTCTAATACTTACATAAAGCAACTCAATATAAAAAACATAAAAAATAATATTAATGAGTTATTTTTCCATGCAGCTACCGAGCTCATTAGGGCAACTGGCAGTTTATTTAACAATCGTTAATTATTTTTTTTACAAAGTCAATCCACCGAGTATTTTCTGCGATAAAAACTTTCCAGTTATTTATCCGATCGGTATTTCAAACATAAAACGGAATGTAATGACTTTTAATTATTTTTTTCTAATTATGTCAGAAATTAATATCCTATCCTTGGCATTTTCATTAAAAATTTTGATGATGTTAAAGACTGCAAATGAACGATTTTGAATATAACCGCAAGCAATTCTGATCTTCAACCGCTCTTGGCGTTGCAATATACTAGACATTTAATTAAGTATAGTGTGGCATTATTCACTTAACCTTGATTTAATGGCAATGAGGAACACGGCGATGGCTCTAAAGTGCTGATGGCGGTTTTAATGTTATATGCAGAAGTGCACTTAGGTTTTCTAAGAACTGTTGTATTAATTTATAAAGGTTTCCTTAAACTTCAAGCAATAAATAGCAATAGAATAGTTGAGCAAAAAATTCAAATCTTTTTCGTTCTACTTGATAAACCCACAAACGGGATGATCATCGGAAGATAAAAATTTGTTATAATTCCTTATTTATAAATAATCTAAATATATTGAACATTGTTTTTATTAATCTACTGATGCATCAAATTCTTAGTATGTATTTCCATTTATTAGTTAGTTAGTTCAATTTGATCTATATGAATCTATATGAATAGATAATTAGGGATTCTCATATTGCAGAATCATGTTGATTTATATTTTGTTATATATGTGCAGAAAAACCATTCAGAATTCACAATTTTTACTGATCAAATTAATTATATCCAAAATTCGCACAGTGTTATCTTTATTTTTTATCTACATCGCTATGCAATATTTATTGCAACTCTCGGAAATTGAATATCTCTTTGAAATATGTTATCCAATTTGCAATTGCTTTTAAAATGTGTATTTTGTATTTTTATAAATATGTGACTGCTACAGATTAAACTAATTATTTTAGAATTCGCGAACAATATGTTGTAAATGGGAAAAACTCTCATACTACTTCTTCCCTGAATTGAGTTGGAGTTTAACTCAGATCACAGACCTGCCTTAAGGCAGTATTACGCATTATTATTATTATGTTGTAAATACATCATTTTATTACATTTTAATTTATATCTATATTATTATGTCTTATTTGACAAGCAATGATAATAAATTAGATATGACCTTTCAAAATACATGATTGAGTTATATTTACATAATACTCTAGAATGTCTTTTCACCTCAGCACCTTATTTAGATTTTCTGTCTCAAATTAACACTGGCAACGTCTTGTCAGTCGCAAACATTTCTCTTCCTTAATTATTTATTCCAAATAGAGCAGCCCCAAGTATTTATTATGCAAATAATTCTCTTGTAACGCATTTGTGTCTTTAATGCAAAAGCTGATTAAAGAGAAGAGGATTTGAAATTTTAATACCTATTATGGTAGCTTTTCATTTTACCGATGTTATTTGGAGCGTTGTTTGCCTTGTATTTATTTTATTGAAAAGAAATGAAACATTCGAATGTTTTCTCTAGATATAGAGAAAAATAACAAATTGTATAGGAAAACATATTAAATTCTATTTTTGTCAAAGTATTTTTTAAATAATAATAATTTTATAATAATAATAGAAACTCTACTGAAACTATCGTAATATTTAATAATAAAAAGACTTTATAAATAACTTGTTATATAAATATCACCGAAATAAATTATTTATGCTTCATTTTGTTTATTCACATCAATAATAACAATTACATATTTTGCGAAAATAAATATTGGGTTAAGAATAATTAGGAAAAATCGTTTGCATTGTACGGCAAAAAATACAATGCGCGGTTTCATTTAGATTCCAAACATAAAAAAGATTTATAACTGTTTGGGTTTTCTGATTCAATGTATCATAATTTTTTTAACTAGTTATGAGTGGCATTTTGCCTTAAAGCATTAAAACAAGTATCGGAAAATTGCTTGAATTTTCCGATACGTACGCATAATAAACTTAACCAATAAGAATTCAGGTTCATTTATTTAGGTAAAATATTTGTTCAACTGTTTATTTCGATAATAATATTTTCGTTTTCACTAAAAAAGAATTAATACAATTTCGAATTGATTTTTTTCAAACATGCTTACAATATCTGTAATTGTATAAATTAAATTAGTTTGTTTAACGAATTTCATACCATCTGTTTCGTGGTCGTCAGCTGTAATCAGTAGTACCTATAAAACACGAATCGTATACAGGTGTTCGGCATAAATTCTGATTCGAACTCATGCCGAATGACGAATTTGATGCATTTTTATAATTCAACCGCTTATGGTAGACCTTCAATATTTTAGTATGCTATTTTAGTCTACGAAATCTATCATTATACAGATCTCTACCAAAAACTAATCAACGTGATTTGCAACCAATATCTTTGGAACAGTTTTTGAATGTTTATGATCGATTTAAGATTGTAGGCTAGGACTCTGGGATATGGAATTGTGGACTTTTATGCTAATTACAAAGAAACGGCTCGTACGAATGTCGCACAAAACTGACAAACAATATAGAATGGCTTTTAAATTTTTAAAATCGGTACGGCACATACACAAATTTGGTTCCAAATTTGATCTCATTCGATTCAGAATAACTTTAGCGCCGGGAAAATATAAAATTAGCAAATCGTTTTTTCACAAAATTATAAGCTACTCCTCATGGAAGTTGAAAATATTTTTATTATTTGCATTTTATTATTCGCTAGATGTGAACGGCATTTTTAAGTAACTTCCTGTACTTCCTAAATAATTGACCTAACAAGAATTGAAATTTAGCAACTTTTAATCCATTATTCCAAACTTTAAGGACTGCTTAAAACAAAACCCCTTTTCGTAAGCCTATAGTATCTTAGGATCTCCGTTAAAACTATACTGTTGCTATTAAAATAATGTTAATGAATTATTTTTCCATGCAGATACCCAGCTTTGGCCAGATACCCATAAGGGTTTTTATTTTAATAATATTAATAAACAAGTGGTAAAAAATGGATAATAAAAACATTCATTGCTTTCTTTTACGACACTTTAAAAATGAGCTAAAATTCATCGCTCTACACTAGAATACCCCCTTAAAAGTTTATATAAGCTGTAGTAATGAATTTCTTACTGTCTATCTGCATTAGTTATAATTTGTTGAGGTTGAGGGCTATTTTCACTTGGCATAATGCTATCAATATTTCTAAGTGAAAACTGATATGACTACTGCTTGACATCAGGCTAGTCGAAGCTGGATCGAATCTGGGATCTTCGATTCAGGTCCGTCTGACTTAACTTGAAATAAAATATATCATAATATGAAAATTGCTTAATAATTGCTATTTTCAATAGAATGCATGAGCATTTCTCCAATAACATGTTCTATAAACGTATAAATTGCATGATTTGGTTGAAAATGGAATGCACAAAATAAAATACTGAAGCGGGTTAAATAAGATTAATAGATTTATAATGAATCCAATTAAGTATTTGTGTATGAACTAGTTCAATACGTAATGATTAATATATTAATTACATGTAACATCTAATAAGGGTTACTACCAGGGCCGGATTTAGAAATTTGGCGCCCCGGGGCACTGACAAAAATGCCGCCCCATCCCTGAAATTTTACGAACTTTTTTTTAAAGCAATCGCGCTGCTTCAGCTGCGTAGGGACAAAATATAGAAGCCGCGTCGCAGTCTAACGGATAAACAATGT